ACTTATTGGTTATAGGTTTACAAATTATACAATATGACCGGACTTCTCGAAGATTTTCTGCCAAATATTTAGAAATTCATGTACGCTACGAATTTTGTTTAAGTCTCATCACGGGATATTTAACAGCAGAATTCATGTAGAAATTGAGCTAGAACACTATGTAGATTGAGAACGAAAGCGGACGCTTTCGAAAACACTACTATGTGTTACAATTAATGGTATGTTTTGGTGCATTTGCTTAAAGTTTCACTGAATTTTTTTGTACTACTCTAATTTAAAAAAAATTAGAGTCAATTGCTCAAATATTATTTTGGTCCTACTGTAATACCACTTTTGTTCGTAGTTGATCATTTTTAAAACACCTCTTAATTAAGTGCTTCGATGTGTAAAAAAAAGTTTAGCTTCGACGGGAGAAAATTTTAGCAAAATTTTTAGGCTACATAATATTTGAAATTAATTTTTTCCATACATAAACATTTGATGAGTACAAAACTTGTAGGTGTGGTATGAATTTATGTACTAACAAGGCACAAGTTTCCGTCCTAAATGTTCTCTTGTGAATACTGAAAAAATACTTAAGTGAATAAACGTGTCGATAACAAGTTAACCGGAACTTTTCAACAGCCACGAAATATGAAATATTTAAAGATGTTTGTGTTAGCAGAAGTAATTAAGTTAGTTTAATAACAAAAAAATAGTAAGAATTCTAGAAAAACAGTTTATAAATAGCGTTGTATGAATGGGCTGTAAGCATAATTCATGGGAAAAGCAATTTTCAGTTGAATTTCTACAGGTTGACTGACACGTTGTTTAAGTATATTAAGTTGAATTTTCAAATAAAACTTGCTTCTTAAAATAACAACTTACAGTTATTCTTCAAACAGATTTAAATGAGGTGGAAATATATATAATACTATTGATGTATATTATTCTGATGTTTTTGATTTTTCCATTTACACATTCTTGTTTGTAAAAATTAAAGAATATACATTGTTTTTACTTATTTTCTCAACAAGTTTCAGTTTTTATTTTCATTTATTTAACTACAACGTGTTACATTGCAAAATAAATTTAAAAAGAGTGTCGAAAGCATAGTATACTATATATATTATATGTAAATAGCTCGATAAACTTTAAGTTCGAAAGTCTTTTTTATATTTTATAATATGATGAAAATTGTTTTAAGGCTTAGAAGGATGGGACATTTTGTTGTTATATTTAAAATTGAAAAAACTCTAGTAAAAGTCACATTTTCGATAAATGTGTTGTTATCGGATAATTTTCTTCTTATGGAGCACTGAAAAGAGATAAAAAAATTATTTTTTTATCTTAAAAAATTTGTAATTATCAATAAAAATCATTAAATTTTAAGATTATTTTTCCATAGTATTTTAAATATAGAGAATCATATAAAATTTAATTTGATTGTTGGTATTTATAATAAATTTATATATTGATGAGTGCATAAGTTCGTGCCCGATTCCGCTGGATGCCGTTCGAATCGTTTGAGAGTGGCGCTCGTGAAAGAAATATATACATATTATATATCGTTGGAAAGTTGACAGTCCGAACTGTAAATCAAGCATAAAATAACTTCATTTTGATTTGAGTTGCTTAGTGAAAAGCCGCATGAAAGATGGACAACGAAAAGATCATATGCGTCATATTATGTTATACGAATTCCGCAAAGGAAAAACAGTAGGCTCTGCAACTAAAGATATTCGCGAAGTTTATTTGGACCGTGCTCCAGCACTCCGCACAGTAAAGAAATGGTTCGCGAAATTTCGTTCTGGAGATTTTAACCTCGAAGATCAACCTCGGAGAGGACGGCCTTCTTAGCTTGATGACGATGTTCTAAGGACTTTAGTTGCGAATAACTCACGTATTTCGACGGAAGAGGTTGCCAGTGAATTGAACGTCAACAAATCAACTGGGTTTCGTCGTTTAAAAAAGGTTGGGTACACTTTGAAGCTCGATACATGGGTGCCACAACAGTTGAGTGAAAAAAACAAAGTGGACCGTATGTCAACAGCGATTTCTTTGCTTCGACGGATCAAAAACGATCCTTATTTGGATCGGCTCGTGACTGATGAAAAATGGATCCTGTACAACAATGTTCAACGCAAAAAACATGGAAACAGGCACACGAAGGGGCGGAACCGATGTCGAAAGGTGGATTGCATCCGATGAAGGTACTGCTGTGCATTTGGTGGGATATCCGAGGCGTGATCTATTTTGAGATCTTGCCAGCTGGAGAAACGATCACTGCCAACAAGTATTGTCAGCAATTGGTCGAATTGAAGAAATCAATTTATGAAAAACGTCCGATTTTGGCCAATCGCAAAGGAGTTCTTTTCCATCATGACAACGCCAGGCCACATGTTGCAAAACCGACCCTGGCCAAACTGAAGGAGATGAATTGGGAAATCATGCCGCATTCCCCATATTCACCCGACATTGCACCTTCTGATTATCATTTGTGTCCATCGCTGCAATTTGAATGGAGAAAAATTTAAAAATGTGGAAGACGTCAAAAACCACCTTGACACCTTTTTCAACGAGAACCCGCGCGATTTCTATGAATCAGGCTTCCGTAAATTGGTTGAACGTTGGGAGTGGATTGCCGAACATGATGGCGAATACATAATTGATTAATAAAAGCCTCTTCTTCAAAAAATTTCAATTTTAGTTTGCACCTGAAATCGGACACGAACTTATGCACTCATCCAATAAATAGGGATAAAATTAATTTTATTTAAAAATTTTGCATACAAAAATACACTCAAACGTGGTGGCAAAATTTGCAAAAGTGACCCTAAGTAGAGAAATTTGTGCTGATGACCTAAACACTAAACATAACAAGTTTTCACAAAACATGTTTCGTTGAAATGAAAGAGAAATGTGACAAAATATTATTAATTTACAAAATATAAATTTTATGTTTATTTGTAATGATCTGGAAATCTGAAAAAGTTACCGCTCGACTATCTTGATTAACTCGAAATCTTGACACATTGTTTCTAATAGTTCCTGGGAGCGTTTATACTAAAAAAAAAAACTGGCGGGAACTAACATATTAAAAAAGTCCTATTTATGGTTTGACTTTCTTTAAATATTTTACCTTAGGGGACTTTTACTTAAATTAACAAGAAGACTACTTCTTTCTCCACAAAGGAGATTAAGAGAAATCGTGCATACTACTTCGTAGTCTTTAATTTTGCCGCTATGGACTCAGCTTGAGTATAAATATGGCTAGATCGCTCACCATTCGCGTTTGGCTTACTTTGAGGAATTCATATTGTTATTTTCAGAGAAGATTTGAGCAGAAAATAAGTAGATTAATATACTAATAAGTAAATAATAGATCAATCCTATACCTCTATCTAAAAGCTGCCGTCTGACTGTATTATTTACAAAACAATACTGCCTGCTATTCCTCCATCAACATGAGCAGACTTTATATTATATTACCCAATAACTTCTGTAATTTAGTGACAGCAAGAATTGAATCATGGAGTATTCCTAAATATCCAAATCAATTTCATGGGTGCTTGAACAACAGACTGTAATTTTTGAAGAAAATTTTTTTTCAGCGCCCAGACACATTTAGCAATCGTGAAATACGTAAAATTGTTTACTTTCGATGCTTCGAGAATACCGGAATAATTGAGGTGAGGTCCTTACATAAAAATACTAACTGCCTGCTGCACTTTTTAGTCCGAAGACCTGATAAGACCTTACTTATTTTAAAACGACAACGACGAGACTGTCACCATCGATCCGAAGTGTTTCAACAGCATGAGAATCACATACTTCCGCCTGCAAATGACGAGCGCGACTTGAACAAAATGTTGTTTCAACAAGATGGTGCCGAATACTAAATAACACGGCCGAATACGGCTTTATATCAAGGAAAAATCTCTGGCTGCGTAACCTCTCGTCTTGGCGAAGTCGATTGGTGGCCGAGATCGCGCTATTTGAAACCTTAGAATTTTTTTCGGGGCTACCCGAAAGACTGTGTTTATGCGGATATGCCTTTATGTTTGAGTATTTTACAGCTGAGATATCGTCCAATTCGTGCATAACGTAGCCAAATATTACCTGAAACCTTTTCGAACTTATATTGGTTTGCTTCCGTATTTTAATTAAAATGCATTAAAAGTCAGAAATGGAAAAATAAATGTATAAATTTAGCGATGCCCCGTAGCCACGGGGTGATGGAAGATTAAAAAGCAATTGTATTGTAGATAAAAGAAGTAGACAAGGAAATGAAATGCCAACGAGAGCAGAAAATATAAAAAGTCTGAAAATAGAAGAAGTCAAGCAGGAAAATTGTTATGCAAGGAATTCAGAATTTAGATTTGAAATAGAAAAAAATCGGAAAATTGCTTACCATGCAAACAGTTAGATTTTGCTTCTAGAATTAAAAAATAAGTGAAAAAAATGCAGCCGATACAGCTGTTGTTGTGGCAGCAAATAGATAAGAGCGTAGCTTAAAAATAAAAAAAATAAAATTATACATATTGAAGGAGCGCCAGCTAACCAGTATTCGTGAAGGTAACACACTACCTTCAGATAAAGTCTTTTGCAATTTTAATTATGAATCGAATTACAATGCGACCGCGTTGGGAAAACAATTAATTTGCGCGACACAAATGAAAAGTGAAAAGAAAATCGGAAGAATGCAAAAAGAAGTGAACAGTGGGAGGGCAATTTTCGTGATAAGAGAGAAGAATGGAAAAATAAATTTCACACACAGTAATGGAGTGGTGAAGAAAAACGTAAAAATCAACAACAAAACGAAAGTAAAATTGGAAAAAAGTGTGTTTTTTAAAAGACGGACGATTCGACGAAAAAAAAAAATCATATTCAAATTTTATATTATTTTTTGGTATTTTAGTTTATTTGTATGAGAAAATGGATAACTAAGGTTGCAATAAAAAAAATTTCCTTTATTTTCATATTTGACGTATATAGTATTTAAAAATTTTACAGAAAATCAAAATAAAAATTATATTTGTCACAATTATTTATTTTTGAATTTAGTTTTAGTCAAGATGTTCTGTGGCTTAATAGCGAAATGCTTGGCCAACTAATTTTCAGCGGGTTCTCGATTGTCTAAGCACCTTACGATTGGTCAATTGTGGAGGCATTGACATGATTAACTGTTGACGGTGGAACTCGATCCGGTAGGCTGTAGCTCTTACCCTCAACCATGATACAAAAAAAGGTAGTTTAACTAAATTTTTTTTTCAAAAATGTTAGCCATCTGACATAAAAAGATTTTTAGGCTTTTGCTATATATTTGTTCTAATCACTTCATTCAATTGTAAAAAATTTAAAAAAAATTTTTTTGCAAAAAATGCAAGACCTTTCAATGTGAACAGAAAAGTAAAGGAAAAGAAAACGTACTCACTAAAAAATCAAAGGTTTTGCATTGTAAATATTTTCGGTAATCTAATGGAAATAAAATTACTTTCAGGTATTAAAGAATTACACAGAAGCAAAAGCTTTTGGGGACTGCAAATTATATGTATTAATTGGAGTGTTATATACACGTGGCGCTTAACAAGAAATTTTCCATGTTCCACCTCTGAAATACGAATTGGGGACCAACTTCTTTTCCGAATGCAATGAGTTTTAATGTATGTACGTCAGAAAATTCGGCGCCGAAAAATTTCCTTCAAGGCGTTAATCATCTTGGCTTTAACCCCAAAAAATAGTACAGCGGTGTTAAATCGCACTATATTCAATTAATTGGCAGTATGACATGAAGCACTCTTGTTTAAATCAAAGATCGTCCACAGCAACATCCACCAAGTCAGGTCCGAAAAAGCCATAAATCACGGTTATAAAGCGGTCTCCACTGGCTGTAGCATTATGGTCTGCTCTGAAAGTGACTTTTCAGGATATAGCGAAAATCTCGTCTACTAACGTACCCAATTAAACCAGAAGTAGGATTCATCGCTGAACAAAATTTTCTGCATCACAAGAAAATCTGAATAATTCTTTTGATAATAAACTTGCGCGATATGCGAACGTGATTGAGGAGTAACGTGGTTCATTATGAAAAGGCAAACTAAACTTAGTATAAATCAAGTAACAGCTGTCAAAAAGAACAATTCCCAAAAAATGGCTAAAAAATTTAATGTTATCTTCTTTAACGAAAAGGAATTTAAGCAAAAAAATATGGCAATCATTTTCAGAAACCTATCTCTTCCGCGCAGTTGTTTGCGTTGATATTACATTATATTATAATATTTGGAAATAGTCTCCTTACTGAAATATTAAGCTCGCTGGCTTTCGGCAGTTAGTCTCATGGGAAAGGAAGAAGCTAAAATTTCTCCCAGACTAAGGCAAATAGAAGGATATAAATTAACCATATAAAGAGAGAAAAAGAGAGAGGGTGAGGAATATTTACTACATATATACAAGGAGTTGCTGACAGTTATAATACTTCAACAAGCAAAATAATAATGTAGGAAAAGAAATTTGAGTAGATGAACGGCTTTCCGTCTTAAGGAGACTGTGACGAATTGATGCAGCAAATTGTTCACGGTAAGCTTTGAATTTTAAATTGAATTAATAATGTGGATAATTGATGCACTCAAAATGGAATTTAGTTAGCTGGTTGCTCTTAATAACCGATGAAATAAAGTAAAGCTATATTGCTTTGCTGCAGTAAATATGCAATAATTTTGTAATTATCAAATTCTAAAAATTTTAAGATTTTTTGAAATTATTTTCAATAACTAAAAATTTGAATAGAATAAATGAGTGTTCAAATAAGTTCTTATAATTACTCAAGCATTTGAGGAATTCACAGCATATCAATTGAACTTTCAGTGTTGTTTGTACTCCGCTTGGCAAATATGTATATATGTACATACATACAAAGTACGCTTGCAGGAGTATCTTTGCGAAAATTTTCCAAATCAATTACCTAAATTGATATGCCATCGGCGTGTAAGATGTGATAAATATTGGTTGATAAAAATCAATTACATGAAGACATCAAATATTTGCTCTAGATATTTATGCTTGCTGTGAATTAAGCCTTGATGTATAAATAATGCTTCTCAATGGAGTTAAAATACTATTGCGCTGCTGGTGTTGAAAGCCAAACGAATTTAAGGTAATATATTTATAATTTTATAATAACATTGGGAACATAATACAACTAAGTTATCAATTATATCACAAACTAACATTTAAGATTACAGCGTTGTGGTAAGTTTTATTTTACAGTACAGTTGTATTTGACATATTGGTATAGTAAAAAGTAATCTACAATATCAATTTTTGAATCGATGGTTTTCTGTGATCTATATATTGCGTTCTGCAAGGGGGGTTGGAATTCGATTAGTTAGCGTAAGAAAAATGATACTTTGTACTAGAAAAAATAAGGTGAGAAGTACTACCCTAACTCGGTAATGTTTGAGAGGATTTCGAAGAAGAGCACCATCAATAGGAAATTGCGCTATAATAAAAAAATTTCCTTCAATGGAGGTGGAAACGATAGACATGCAGTTGAAATTGTGAATAGTGTTTATGGTCATCATACTGTAATAGTTGTACAGGCGAAAGGTAGACTACTATACAACATTTCTAGCTTAATTTTAATATTTTGAGGAAAAAATCATACTAGTATGTTGTAAACCAGAATTATGCTAATATTTAAAGGACAAAAACTTACTAGTTTGCCATGGCCTAAAATGTACTAGTATTTTTTCGATACGATCTGATTTCTGAAAAGATTTCATTAAAATCGATTCAACCGTATGGAATGCCTGAGGTGAACTAATTTCAACTAATATGAAAGAACCAGTACCTTTACTGGTATATCCGAACTGGTATTAAACTAGTATGATGTTGTGTCGTGTTAAAAATATTAGTTGCTTACTTGGAAAATAGATGGACAACAAACTAGTTTCATTCTAGTTAATAACTAGTATTTTTCTTTGCAGGAAGTGTACCACGCACAATTTTGGTTTCGTCGATTTCGGTGCGGAAATTCCGTTACAAAATTTGTTCGACGGTGTGGAAGGTCAATTGTAGAAAATGTAGAAAAAGTAATAAAAATCATTGATTTTGACCACCACACGACCACTTTTTGATTACAAAGGATCTAACATTAGATCTGGAGAAATGAGTGCCACATGAGTTTACAAGTAAAAACCTCATGGACCGAATTTCCAGCTGTGAATTGTTGCTGTATCAAATTATAATCGACTCATTTCTGAAGTGGATGGTAACAAGTGAAGAGAAGTGTCATTTGAATCTGCGTTAAACGGAAACTGATAGGAAAGTGTTTGGTAGAATTAGCAAGGAATCATCCACAATGTGTTTTTCTCCTACAGTCAAACTCTTAACACATAATTGTGCGTCCAGTTTTAGCCAGCAGGAGGATAATTGTTTTTTATCTACACAACGCCACTATACACATCGATAGTGACTCGCCAGAAGCTCAGAGTTCTCCATCCACCTTATAGGCGAACCATCTACTCTTGGCTATGGCGAATAATGTAGCTGCCGAGGGTTAGCCTCAAAAGAAGCCTGAAAATCGGTGGTCTTTTTTTTGCTAGTAGGGGCAAGGGTTTCTATGAAAAATGCAAGGCCATCAGAGCTAAGTGATTAGCACTGTGCACTGCAATTCTGAAGGCCAGGATTAGAGGCCTGACTTAACCTATATCCAAAGATAAAGAATATAAATTTGAATAAAATTAAGGTTAAACTATCTAATTGCTGCAACCGCTGCATGACATAAAAGCTCGTCATAAAAATCGATCGGCCGTTTGGAAGCGTCTTAGAATAAACTGTGGATAAAACATCAAGACGCACGACACAAATCAGAGTAAAAGCTCCGCCGAAATCACTTCAGCGGTTTCAAAGCACCATTTTTATATTATATACTAGAAATGTGAAAATGGATGCTATGTTATTCTCGGACCAACTGAGTATACGCATAAAATTTCATTAAAATCGGTCAAGCCGTTTCGGAGCAGTATCGAGTCTAACACGATGTGTGACACGAGAACTTCATATTATATTTGAGATGTAATATGGATGTATGGCATTCCAATTGTGAAGTATGACCTGTATATAGGGGTTACAGCCTAAAATTCCCTTAATGATTCTTACAAACATACCTAAAAATCGAAATATCCTATTGGTTAGGCCTGAAGTCGGAAAGAATATTTCACAAAACTGAGATGTCATCCCAATTCGCTAGCTTCTTCTTCGTGTAACTCAACTAGAAATTCCCCAATTCATGAGAAAGATGTTGTCGACTTCTAAGGGAAGCGTTATAATTCGAAAGAGCTAATTTGATTTATGCTTTGTACAGTTACTCTTAAGCTTAAGGAAAACTTATATAATACAAAAAACCTGATTATTCCTATTTTATATTCCGTGACTACAAAAATTTGTCGAATTTGAAATATCCCACGTTTAGACCTTAGCAGCGAGAATAATAACGCGTCTTCAATTATACATGCGTAAATACAAAAGCACATATTATACTTAGTAAAAATGTGTCATCAATTTCTTACAATCAGGAATATTCATATATGCCGGTATTTGTACTCACATAGTATAACTACTATATATATACATAAGTATGCTGAATTTTAGTACTCTTTCTCCTACCTGTGCGGAAGCGGCAAGCTCACAACATTTCTTGATTGTTTTGTGCACATGCACGGCTGAACAATCACTTCGAATGCACCAATTCATGGCTTGAGCTTGAGATTGCGATGTTGCAACAAAAATAGAATAAGTACTTTATTATATAAAAGAACGTCCATTAAGAATTTAGTATACCAAGTGAGTATTAAGGTGCCGTGAGACGAATGCCAAAATGACATATTTCGAAATTTGAATTTCATAAAAATAGGATTCCCACTTCTGGAAATGACCTTATTTCATAATAATTTACCAAAAATCTTCTTTGACGAAACTTAAAATCTTTGACAGCAATTTCAAGAGAAATAAAAGTTGAAAGTGGAGCCGGAATAAAAAATATTTATATAGTATTACGTTTTAAGAAAAAGCTCTGCTACTCAATTCTCCTCTCTTCTGACCGCTTTGACTCGTTATAAAGGCCAAGATATTAGCCAAAGGGCTCGAATGACTAAGTAGTTTCTCTCATTCTACCACATTTGACATATCTACCTCGCTCTTTAAAATGAAGAAAACAATGTTAACTACTCTAAACTAATTATTAATGCTCCAAAAATCTTTTTTCGGTAACAATGTCAACAAAGAAAATGATTTCCACGTCATGTATACCCCTCATGTGAATATGCGGGAGGTCGGAAATCTGTATGATAATAATAACTGGGTGTAACGGTTTTAATGTACCCACCGCTGTAAGCAGAGAAAGAGGAAGACCTCCACTCCGTTGGAAGGATCAGGTGGAGAGTGACCTGACCTCACTTGGTATTTCTAACTGGCGCCAAACAGCGCAAAAAAGAGATGAATGGCGCGCTATAATTTATTCGGCTATAATCGCATAAGAGGTGCCAACGCCAATAAAAAAATAAAAGAAGAACATCAGTTTGCACAGCCACTTAAGTTTTTCGGGGATGGATAGATAGTGGCGTAGAAGCAGCTCCTTTTCGTTCTGTCGAAAACTGCTTTAAAAAAGACGAAGAGGTGGAGTGTTTCGATTCTCTTTTCACGGGTCTTTTCCAAAATTTGGCACATGGTGAATATCTGAGCAATGGTTTACTTACCAGGTCCAAAGCGACACTGATAAGGTTCAATCAGTTTGTTGACGGTGGGCTTTAGTCTTTCACGCAATATGTTGGAGAGACCCTTTTATACGATATTAAGGAGATTTATCCCTCGGTAATTATCGCAGACTGTGCGGTCCCCTTTTTTATACATTCGGCATAGCATACTTACAACCTTATTATGTATTGCGAAGCAAACGTTCGTTTCGTGTCAGACACGAATCGTTCGCATATTTGTATTTCGTATTTTGAACACAAAGGCAAACGATAACAGCTGATTCTTACGTGATATGTTATTGAAACGTACATTTTCTCATACGAGTAGTATGCAAAACAACGAAGAGAGATGTCAAATTCAAACGAAAGCAATTTCGGTATCGTTTCGCTATATTCAAAATGGACCAGTCATCTAAAAAAAATATAATATTAACTATTTCAATCAACACTTGATTTGAAATAACATATTAAACTTCTTTCAGCGTTAAGAAAACTACTAGCATCCAGTGATGCTCATTAAAGAATTGGAAGCTAAGGTAACTTGGCAAGAGGCGCTCCAGTATTTGGCGCTGATAGAATTTCTTTCGACGACCAGTGGAAGAAAGTTACTCATAAATTGAACACGAATAGACCTCCGCAGGGAAGTGTGGTGGAATGGAAAAAGGTGAGCGAGGATATGCAAAACAAATGTGAAAAGCCGTTGGGGAATTCGATATACATAGTTTGTTTAAAAATGTAAACTAAATATTCTTTACGCAATTCTCTACGTAGATTTGGGCTGATCTTAAAAGTCAGACGAAGCGAAAGATAGCCGAAAACCTGCGAATATTGAGCGCCACGGACGGCTGTCCATTCCACTTCTCAGCATTGACAGAAATGAAAAAACAAATTGTGTTTATTGCAAATTTTCTGCAATTTACAATCGTATATTTGCTGCAATTGAGTGTGACTCTTCAATTTCTGTTTATTTTATTACATCTTGATTCAGTTGAATGAAAGGTAACTGCACATTAAAAGAAATACACACATTATGCAATGCGCAACACGCATTTATAACTATTAAAGCTTTTAAAAATGGAGTCCCCGTGAGCCTATTATGCACCGGAACCTATTTTTCAATACGCGCCTCTGGATTTCGTCACCGGGCAAACGGAACGGTATCATCAAATATGGCTGCACAGAGTCACCATTTGTTCTGCTGTACTCTGCTTCCATATAAAAGCATCGTGGTTGGCCCCAGGATGTCTCGCGTCAACGTGAGTAATGAACATGTTGTGATCACAAATCTTGTAACAACAAAGAAGAAAAGATATGTTATAAGTCGTATAATTGCTGTTCTAAGTTAAATATGTATGTGGAAATTGCTCAACGCAAATACATATGAATGTACTTATGTATATACTTACTGCCATAACATTTATACCATAAAATCACTTCCGGTTATGGTATAAATGCCTGCAGTTGAAACCGTGCGATTTAATTCGGATATGTGTACCGTCGACACATCCTATGACACCCGGTAAGCCAAACTTGGTGAAGAAGTGTTTTTTGACGTTGCTTTCTTCTTCCTGAGTTCTTGCAAAGCGCACCCAGTTGTTGCAAAATTTGCTTTCGAGAAAACCCAAGCACTCCGACATTACTTTTGCTACTGTTGATTGGCCCATCGCTGAAATATTTTCATTCCAACTGATTTCTCATAGCTTCCGGTGGCAAGAGACCTGAGAAAAGTAGCCAACTTCAATTAGGGTGGCAGGTGAGTATTTCGGAATGTATGCTTCAAATAAATTTTTGGTTCTAGGAAAAGGTAACAAAACACTTCTTTGCTCATTCTAAAGTTCGTCACAAATGTGGGTGCATGTGTTTATTAAAAAATTAAACACTTTTCTCTAGAATAAATTCACAAAATACTTACTCAGTCTCCGGTAGTTCCAGCACATTTGTTGCATCCCTTACATTTCGCCTTCGGATGCTCAATTCTACTTCATCTGAATGTTCATTTAATAAATATACAAATGCTGAATACATTTTGATTTTGTATATGTATATATTTTTTGAAAATTTACAAACACCGTATTGTAAACAAACAAATACAAATGTCAACGAAGGAGAATGAAAAAAGATAGAAATTAGAAAAAAACAGGGTTTTTATTTTAATTATTATATAAATGACATATAGCAGCATGTTATTTGACAAATGATTCCTTCTCGTATTTCTTTGTTACGTAGGCAACGTAAGGGTTGACGAACAATATAGGGAATATCAATACTGTACGCAATCGTCCGGAGACGATTCGTTCGTCAGACCTTTCGTTCGTAATATATAATA